CATGTTATTTGGATCCACAATCAACACCCATGGAAGCAACAGTCAGGAAATCAGACATTGTACTGCACTGGGTAAATCTGCTGCAAAAGACCTTTTTAAGGTGTTAAAGAGCAAAGATGTTTTCTTGAAGATTAAGGTGCACCTGTTTCTAGCCATGATATTTTCAATCACCTCATACGCATGTGAAAGCTGGACAGTGAATAAGGAAGACCAAAGAGGAGTTGATGCTTTTGAGTTGTGGTGTTGGCAGTAATACTGAAAATAGCATGGACTGCCAGGAGAATGGACAAATCCATCCTGGAAGAAGTGCAGATGGAATGCTCCTTGGATGTGAGAATGGCCAGACTTCATCTCACCTACTTTGGTTATGTTTTCAGAAGAGACCATTTCCTGAAAAAGGATGTCGTGCTTGGTAAAGCGAAGGGTCAGTAAAAAAGAGGAAGGCCTCAGCAAGAGGATTGACACAGTGGCTGGGGAGATGGGCTAGGGTACAGCAGAGATCATGAGGACCACATACAACCAGGCCATATTTCCTTCTGTTGTACGTAGAGTTACCATGAGTGGAGCCAACTTGACAGTGACCTTAAGCATTTGTCACGTGCTTATTTGCCATTCATATATCTCCTTTGATGAAAAGGCTGTTCAAATTTTCATTTTCTTTTTATTGGATTTTTTGTTTTCTTGGTTTATTGTGTATTCTCAATGCAATACTAATCCCCAATCTGTGGCTTCCTACTCATCCTCCTAGCAGTATCTTTCTTCATTTTGATAAAGTCCAGTTTACCATGTTTTTTCTTTTATGGACCATTCTTTTCATGTTGTACTTAAGAAATAAAATTAACCCAAGATCCCAAATACTTTCTCCCATGTTTTCTTAGTGTAATTTATGTAGGTTTGTGATTTTACATTTAGGCTTATGATCTGTTTTAACCTTAACTTTAGTGTATGGTGTGAGGTATGGATGGAAATTCATTTTTCTTCACATGGATATTCAATTGTTACAGCACCATTGGTTGGGAAGGTTGTTTTTCACTGAATTACCTTTGCATCATCAGTCCATAATCAGTTAAATGAGTCAATTCCTGGACTCTGTCTTCTGTTCCATTGTTCTGTGTGTCTGTCTTCACACCAGTATCACATTGCCTTGATACTGTGTAAGTCTTGAAAGCTGTAGAGCAGATGAGTGTTACCACAGTATACTTTGTTTCTCTCTTCCTGGGGAAGATACACTGCAAGTGCCCTAGCCCACAGTGTGTTGTTAGCTTGTGCAAACCATCAGTTATGTTTTTTTTTAAGGGATCCTAATAACCAAAAGTTGTAAGCATTTACTCTGTTGTCATGTTTCCCATGCTGGTCTTTTCCTTCCGAGGGTCCATGCTCCTCTCTGGTGTCCCTTTCCTCCTGCCTGTCTCACTTCCTGGGACATCTCCTGTGTTGGTCTGCTCAAGTTGACCTTCATTTTATCTTCAGTTTTTAAAGGTATTTTTTGCTGGCTGTAGAATTCTACATTGACAAGTTCTTTTTCTTTCATATTGGAGTGGCGTTGGCTTGTTGAGTTTCTGCTTCCAGTGTCCCCACCGAGCCATCTGCTGCCACCTCATCTTACTCCTCTGTACCGTCTTTTTCCCTCTGGCTGTCTTTAGCGTCCTCTCTTTATCACTTGATTCCAACAATAAATGATGTACCTTATTATTGGTGTGCTGTGGTTAACTGAGCTTCTTGGGTTGGTTTTTGGCAGATGCGGCAATGTCCAGCCAGTTCTTGGGATGCTTTCTACACACACACACACACACACACACATCTAGGTGCCGTGCCACATCAGGGTGCTCTGTTCATTTGGGAAAGTCAGCTTTCACTCTGTATTGCAGGGTGGCTGCGTTATTGCTGTGACTTCAGATTCACTACTACTATCCCTGGTGATGTCTCACAAATAGTTCAAAACCCAATGTATTTTCATTCTGGTTGTTGTTTTCCCACTCTAGAGGTTCAGCGTTGGTCTTCTTAATATTTTCCAGAGTACGTTTCCACGTTAGCTTTTGAGCGCCCCGAGTGCAGTTTTGATGGCTGTTTTACTGTCCTGCTCAGCTGATTGTAGTGTCTGTGTCAGTTCCAGGTTGGTTTTGATTGATTGGTTGTTCTCTTCATTGTGGGTCATATTTTTCCTGCTGCATGGCTTGCCTGGTTACCTTTGATTGGCTGCTGGACGTTGTGAGCTTTACTTTTGTTGGGCACTGGGAACTTTTGTGTCCTTGTAAATAAATATAATTTGTCTTTCTTCTAGGACACAGTTAAGTTACTAGCAAAGAGTTTGATTGTTTGGTGTTTGCTTTTCAGATGTGTTAGGTGGGTTCTGAGCAGGACTCCATCTGGGGCTATTTCAGCCCCATACTGAGGCCATCCCCTCCTGTGGATGTTGAGGTGGGCCTCCTGGGCCCCCATGTCCTCCCCATTGCCCTGCTGCCCTTGGTTCTCTGTCTGTGAACTCTAGTTGCATTGGTCTCCCCATTCTCAGCTTTTCAGTCCAAGGGTCCCCTGGGCTTGCCTGCTGCCCCTCCCTGCACCATGGCTGAATCTCCCAAGGCCATGGTCAGGCATGATCTAGGGCCTCTGGTTTGTGTCTTGGTGCTGGGGTCTCAGCCCATCAGTGCCTGATGGCAGATGTCTCAAACGCTATTGTTGCATACATTATGACTGGTCTGTTCCTCCCTGATCATTTTAGAAATGAGGTCACAGGCAGGTGCAGGCTGGCCTGGTCCCAACTCAGGGGCTTTAGGCTCCAGAGAGGCTTGTACGAGCCCATGCTGCGAGAGGCTCAGTGAACTGTGGAGTCTAACGGTGGTTATGAACTCAGTCATTCTTACGAAGGGAGGGAACCAGGGGCCCTCAGGAGATAGTACTGGACTCAAGGAACTCTTGCCCCATGGACAGGGGCCGGGACAGAGCAGCGTCCAGGGAGGGCGCAGCATCCGTGGTGAGACCAGTCTTCTCTGCTGGAGCTAGAGACGGGAGGGCAGCCCGGGGCTGGGGCAGGGCTTTCAGCAGCAAGGGGACGAAGCAGAGCCACGGGCTTGTGCGATGCTGCCACCGTCCCCACACTCCCTGAACTGCCCAGGACGACCAGGCCCACGCCCGCTCCACTCTGCCGTCTGTCTGTCTGCGCCCTCTGACCCGTGCCTGAGTGAACATCACAGACAGGAACTGGGAGCTGAGTGAGGGAATGGCCACTACAGGTGCACTCCAAGGTGGCGGTGGACACCACCACAGCCCATCTTGGGCCCCATGGGGGCCTGTACCTCCTGCAGCCGTTGATGGGCCAGGCAGCCAAGTGTGGGTCTTAGATGGGGTAGGTACTACCAGGCGGGCGGACTCGCTGCGGCCCATTGGTGGCTAATAGCTAGCATCTGTCCTTTAAGAGCTATTGATGGCTTATAGCCTCCAACGCAGAGAATTCATGCCAAGAAGCAACTTGGGAAGAGAAAGCCCCATGGGGACTGAAACACCCACTAGCGCTGTGTTCAAGATGAGAGGGCAGAAATCAACTAACCATCCAGACAAGGTTTTAGGAGTTAACAAGGCGTGAACTTGGGGCCCACTTGCCATCAGTGGCACTATGTCGTCTGATGGCCTTCAAGTTACAGCATCGACCATGGGAGCCCACAGTACAGGGGGCCTGTTGCAGCCCTGCCCCAAGATATGTGTGTGGACACGGGTCAGAGGGCTCAGGGACAGACAGAAGGTGACATGGCTGTCCTGGGCGGGTGGTAAGTGGTCAGTGTTACAGACTTGGATTTCCATCTCTGTGGGCCTCTGACTAGCTGGGTGTGTGCTCATATTCACATTCACTGTCTGTTTTCCAACTTGGTTATTTTCATGTCTTTCACAAATTTAGTTCTTTGGAATGAGTGCTCTCGTAAATTGATGATGGTCGTTACAAATCACGTTTCACACAAGCTGTGAGGTTTTATTTTCAATGAAGATAGCTTGCTGCTGTCCAGTCAGCCCCCACTCCTGGCAGCCTTCCCTAGAACAGAACAAGGCATCAGCGGGTTGTGCGGCACCCGCACTGTCACCAGCACACCGTGTCTGCCATGGCAACGTTTGTGCTGGCCCATCTTATCGAGGGTCTCCCTTTGCCCTCGTCGGCCCTCCCCTTCACTAGACGTGATGTCTTCGCCCAGCTGTAGACCCATGTAGGGCATGTCCAAAGCCAGCGAGCACAACAGTGCTCATCTGGGATCCATAAACTTCTGATGGTCTGGTTTCTGGAAGTAGAGAGCCAGGACTTTCCTTCTAGTCTGTCTGAGTCTGGAAGCTCTGCTGAGGCCTGTCCATCTGGGTGACCCCGCTGGGATCTGAGGCCCGTCCACTACGGGGAACCCCGCTGGGATCTGAGGCCTGTCCACCTGGGTGACCCCATTGGGATCTGAGGCCCGTCCACCATGGGGAACCCCGCTGGGATCTGAGGCCTGTCCACCACGGGGAACCCTGCTGGGATCTGAGGTGTGGGTGGCAGAGCCCCCAGCCTCACAGCCATATTCGGGCCACCACAGTACTGCGCACTGACAGTTGGAGGGTGGTTTATTTTATAAGGGCCTCTAAATTTGTCTTTTTCAAAGTTTACGGTTATTATCGTTTGCGCTGATTGTAACTTAAGAGATGAGTAGGATTATAATAAATGAATGGAAAACGATATCTGAATGTCACATTTATAACGGGTCTCAGCAGTGGCTGGGGTAGAGTAGTGTGCCTCTGGAGGACTTTGTTCCTCTTTAAAATATCCTGAACTGTGGTTGTCACCTTGATCCTGAGAAGGTTACGTGTTGACTAAGGAAGCATTGCTCCAGAATCCTGGGGTCTGAGGAAACCGTGGGCGTACACGGCCATGCCCCGGCTTCCCCTCTGCTTCCACACCAGTGGCACGCAGTGGTACTCGTGGGAGCCTCTGTGTCGGCCAGGCCTTTGTGGCTGGCGGACTGTGCTCACGGCCTGTCTCTGTCCAGGAGGAGAACATCTGCCTGCACTGGGCGGCGTTTTCGGGCTGTGTGGACATCGCGGAGATCCTGCTGGCCGCCAAGTGTGATCTTCATGCTGTCAACATCCACGGGGACTCGCCACTGCACATTGCTGCCCGGGAGAACCGCTACGACTGTGTTGTGTATGTGAGGCCTCTGCTGGCCACTTGGGGGTCCCCGGACAGTGGTTGTGCCCTCTACCCCCTGTGGGGGAGGTGCCTTGAGTGTCGGGGTAGCCCCTCCCACAAACAGAGGAGGGTCTTGCTCTTGTGTGAGGGCACTTGCTGTTGATTTCTGGCTCTGGGAGGTCGTTGTGATGCACTCAGTGTTACAGCTAACCTAGAGGTGAGCCTCAGATCTCACACCTCCTGCCCAAGCAGTGGGGGGTGGCAGGTCAGGCCTGTGGGGGCTGGGGGCTGCCAGCTCCAGAGCTGTTCTGACTTCAGGGCCTTAACTCCTGTGAGATACCAGAGCCACACACATCACTTTCTTCCTGTCCTACGTCCACACCGCCTCAGTCGGGTCCTGGATGCGGTCGGGTCCTGGGTGGGAGGGCAGGGCAGAGCCAGGTGGAGCCCTTGCTCAGGTCATCGGGTCCTGCTGGTCTTGACCCCAGGCTGCTGGGCTAGGTGCACAGGGCCCACACTCACCTCCACACGAGCACCCTGAGAGACAGCCCTGTCAAACCTGGGCCTGGGACCCAGTGGCCTCTGGTTAGGACAGCAGCTAGGCTTACCACAGCCTGAATGTTATCTTGCTGTCCTTGAAGGCAGGTGTGAATGAGAGAGTCAAGAAAAGCCAGATGTCTTCCCTAGCTCTTTACACACCTTCTGCTGAGAAATTGGGAGAAGGCTTTGCAGTATGTGTGGGAGAGGACTAAGGCAGTGTATCCTGGGCTGAGTTATAGGCCCGCTTTTCTAAGCCATTGCTCAGCCGGCTTGTTACGCTGTTTCCCACTGAATGGTGTGTGTGCCTCCTTTACCCATCCAAGGCCTTTTGTAAATCTCCGTGTGTTTTGTAAAGTGTCCTGCTGGCCTGTGTTTTTTTTTTCAGCCTCTTTCTTTCTCGGGACTCCGACGTCACCTTGAAGAACAAGGAGGGTGAGACGCCCCTGCAGTGTGCGAGCCTCAACTCCCAGGTGTGGGCGGCCTTGCAGATGAGCAAGGCTCTTCGAGACTCAGCACCAGACCAGCCTGGCCCAATGGAGCGGACGGTGAGCAGGTGAGTGGGTGAGCCCTGAGAGCCAAGGCTGCTGCAGCAAACAGTGAACAGGGAGGTTTGCGGTGAGGCTTATCTTCCAGGTGGGTGGATCTACCAGTCCCTTCCAGCAGGTGCCTGTTGTTCCCTCCTGCTCTCCTGCTTCCTCCGGCCTTGGGCGAACCCTGTCCCAGCAGTCAGTGTGCTGTCCTGTCATGTGCAGAGACATCGCGCGAGGCTACGAGCGGATCCCTATCCCCTGTGTCAATGCGGTGGACAGCGAACCCTGCCCCAGCAACTACAAATACGTGTCTCAGAACTGCGTGACATCCCCCATGAACATCGACAGGAACATCACTCACCTGCAGGTCAGGGGTGTGGGAAGGAGGGGCAGCTCAGCCAGAACAGGACGAGGCGTCCTGGGCTCTGCCTGCTCTATGGTGCCGAGCTCCTGCTGGGCTTCCAGGAGACCCATTCTCTCAGCAGTTACCTCCAGTAGAGTCAGGGGCTGACATTGGAGGGCTGACAAAGAACCTTCCAGAACAGAGTCCTGGTCCTTTCATCCAGAACCACCTGAGTGCCTGCAGGCGTGATGACGGTGGGCAGAGTTGGGTCTCCCCGGCTGACGCACACTGCCTCTCTGGTCTGGTGCACAAGGAAACCTGTGCAGGGCAACATGACATCAGTGCACCCCGAGGTGGGGAACTCTGCAGAGCAGTGACGGCCCAACCCACAGGTTGCAGACCAGACACGGCCTCTTTCCGGCTAAAATCACACACAGTTTGAGGCAGCTTCCCGTCCTACACCCAAGTTAGGATTTATGGGAACGTTACCACTTTGACATTCATCACAGGAAAGACTCCTGTCCCTTCTTTCTTCACACGACTGAGCCCTATCTCTGTTCCTTATGACCAGCCGAGCCCCTGCTCCTTGGCATTTCACATCTAGCGATGGGCCTTGTGTCCAGACTGGACTGTTCTCAGCTTTTCTCTGGGGCCATACTCCCCTTGCTGGCTACCACAACCTGAGCCTTCCAGTGTGTCCCGGTCCTGCCTTCCCATCCTACCAGTAAGCACTTGGAATCTCTCCCTGCCTCCTGGGAGACTGCACTCTCCTGGGTATCTTGAGAAACCAAACAGTACAATAGCACACGTCTGCTTTAAGACACATGCGTCACTTGAGGCCGGGAAAAGGGCGGGGTGGGTGCGGTGGGGACAGCCGCGCACTGTAGCCTTCCTCTCTCTCCCCTCAGTACTGCGTTTGCATTGACGACTGTTCCTCCAGCAACTGCATGTGTGGCCAGCTCAGCATACGCTGCTGGTATGACAAGGTGAGCCACGCTGATGCCATGGGCCGGGTGAGCCTAGGTGGCTGCCGCCCGTCCCCTCTTGAGTCCAGGGCCTCCACAGCATCAGGGGGCTGAGCTTTGCCCAACATGGAGACGACCCCATCGGGGCACAGACAGGAGTGAGACCCCAGCTGGTCACAGGGTGGAGATGCTGATTCTCACGTTCTTAGGGGGCACACCTCAGACCTTTGTGGCCGGCTCAATGATGTACTGGGGGGATTGTCATCTGTGCTCCCCACATGTGGGGTGGGATGTCTGTGTGCCCACCGTGGTGATGGGGTTAGGCACCTGGGCCGTCCATCTTTCGTCCTTCGTGGGGAAGTGTCTCTCTCACACTGGAGTGGTTCGCACATGAAACGGAGGCATCTGCGAGTGGTTCTGCTCTGTGCTCGTGTCGAGCTGTGCAAGGCTGCATGAGGAGGCTGGACATGCAGCCACCACCCAGGGAAGGCAGCCAGGCAGCGGTGGCGCTGCAGAGGGCATTGGGCATGGGCCACAGCTCCAGGTGATCTGGGAGAACTGTCCAAAAGCTGGGGGCTGTGTCTCCGTGGGGGGCAGAGCAGGCCAGCAAAGTGAAGGGGAGGTGTGGGCCAAACGGGCAACAGACATACGATTCTTTTGAAGGCTGAAGTTCCTGTGTGGAGGGGGAGGTGTGGTTGGTTCAGTTTTGAGATCGGGTACAGTGTGGGAAGAAGAAGCAAAGGGGAGCTTTCTGGGTCCCTCCAGAGTTTCCAAGGCCGAAAGGCCAAGAACTGGGTCCGCTGGCAGTGAGGGGCTGGTGGGCTCAGCAAGGAGAGGGGCCAGGGTGCTCTCAGTGGACTGGGAGAGTGCAGAATGAGGGCGTGGTGGGTCTTCGGGGCCTGGGAGCACTGTGCTGGAGACCAACGGTCAGTGTGCGCCCTCCCTGAGTCCCCAGGCACTGATCTGACTAGAGCAGTCATTTTGATGTCAATCGAGGCTTTGCTGGGTGCTCTGTGGAGACGCCAGGGCGCCACGCTTAACTGCATGTCTCTCCCCAGGACGGTCGCCTCCTGCCAGAGTTTAACATGGCAGAGCCGCCTTTGATCTTTGAGTGCAACCATGCCTGCGCCTGCTGGAGGAACTGCCGCAACAGGGTGGTACAGAATGGGCTCAGGTCAGCCAGCCCTGAGAGCGGGCATCCACATGGGGTGGGGCGTTGCTTCGGTGCCAAGGGGCATCAGCCCTCCACCATGGGCCATACTTGGGGCCTTACAGCTTAAGCTTCAGGGCTCAGATTTCTCCTGAGAAAGCCACATGGAGTTTAGAATTTTAATCTCTGTGGTAAAGGGTAATATTAAGGGTCTGTGCTGTAGAAGTTTGAAAATTGTTTGAGATTCTTGTGAAGTTCAGTCCATCGGTTCGGTGTGTGGGAAGGCTTGCGGTGGGGAGGTAAGCATAGGGACCTGTGTGCTATGGGCTTAACGTGTGTCTGTGTTCTGTGTGCTCACACATGGAGCTAATGCACACCTTCGGCCATTACCATCTGGCCACGTTACACACACCTTGAGTTACAGATTAATTGCCTTCCAGCACTTTACACCTCAATTTGATACTTTAACTTTAGGCTTAAAAGAAGAAACAGACCGGATCATTTAGAGCCAAAAAACCAGAACAGACTGAGCGTGGACATCACCACGTCCACACACAGCACACGCTGCGGCCGACTCGGGTTCTGGCTCCTTTTCAGTGTTCAGATCAGTTTCACAGCCTTGTGTTTTATACCCTCTGACGTTATGCTGTGGCCTTCCCCGGCATCCCCAGCCCAGGTTCTGGTCACAGGCTTTTCCTTGCCACGCTCCTGATGGTCATGAGGTCAGAGCCCTAAGTTACAAGTAAGAGAGTTACATATAGTAAGTCACTGTACTTTTGGCTGAACACTGACTTCCACCATACTTGATGTTTCTCCAGCACTGATAACCAGAGCACAGAGGCTGGTACTCAGCCCTCTCTCCTTGTCCTTCATTTGGGTTAGACTAGACAGACCGAGCTCCCTGCCCTCCAACACCTAGGCCCCAGTCGTCACACACAGGACAAGTGAGCATGAGTAATAACCGTGGTTCCCATGAGACCACAGAGGCTTCCTGGGCCACGTCCCAAGGGGTCCTGGGCTCCTAAGAGGGTGCATGCAGGGCTGTCCCTTCTGGAGGGTCCTGGATATATCTGGTCTGTGTACCCCTGTTCCCGAAGGCTCTGCCAGGAACATTTTGCAGGAGGTTGCAGGAGCTCTCTATAGTTCTGTCACCATTGCTGTATGTCTGTCTGCCCTTCACTGACTAGGCTTACTGGCCTCATTGGCTGCTGCACAGCCATTTCATGCTGACCCAGGGTTTGCGGGGTGGCCGTCATCCTCATCCAGGTGTGTGGGCCCTTTGCACCTGGGCTTACCACAGCCCCACCACAACCCATGGGCATGAGCTGTTCACAGCCGCATGCGCGCACATGCGTGTGTGCACACAGAGTGTAAGTGGCCAAGTTACTTGATTTTCTTTGAAGCCATTGGTTAGTGTCATAGGTGAAGTTCTAAAATGGTTCCAGACACAAGTTTCCTGTTTCTCACTCCTGTACTCAGGTTAGAAGCTCTGGTGGCATAGTATCTAAGGCACTTGACTGCTAACCAGAAGGCTGGTGGTTCAAACCCACCAGCCACTCTGCAGAAGGAAGGTTGGACAATCTACTTCCTTAGTGATACTGCCTCAGAAACCCAGGGAGGGGTCTCTATGAGTCAAGTCCAACTCGACTGCAGTGGGTGGTGCTCTTGTTGGGGATGAGGCTACGGGTGCCCAGTGCAAGGTGAGTTGGTCGACATCCTGGCCGCTCACCCACTTTCTGCTCCCAGGGCGAGGCTGCAGCTCTACCGGACACACAACATGGGCTGGGGCGTGCGGGCGCTGCAGGACATCCCATTGGGCACCTTTGTCTGCGAGTACGTGAGTCTTAGCCTGCTCCGGGGCAGTCTGGGTCTGGCCAGGTGGTCCAGGGGAAGGATGTTCGGGACAGAGGGGGGCTTCCCAGGGTACCCTGACGACATGGGCTACAAGACACCATCAGAGTGGTGGAGTCGAGACTTGGACGCATAGCTCTGGCTCCACGCTCAGAGGTGGTGGGAGTACTCTCCCAGCTTTAGGAACTCGACGGGTGGTCACTGGGAATATTAGCAGAAGGCCGTGGTGACAAACCTTCCTCGTCTGTGCTGTCCGTGAGTCTGACTGTCCTCCTCACATCCGTTAGCTGAGTTGTGGGGCATGCCTTTTCCCCACAGAGTGGGCCAGTCTTATTGTCCCAGCCCCTCTTAGCAGTCCTGGTGCAGAGCCGGGACTGTGTGTGAGGGCCTGGGGCAGCAAGTTTGGAAGCTGTCTGGCCCTGCCTGCCAGGACAGGTTGAAGCTGAGTCTTTCCTTGGTGGGACACCCAGGGCCCTTCCGTTCAGGGGTTTTCAAGTCGGCTTCTCTCGTGGCCTGCTGGAAGCACGCACAGGCTCTGTGTTCTCAGTTTCTTTCCAGTCTTTGCCTCTGAAGGAGCTGGTGGACGATTGGGCACCCCACTGTCCCCTCTGCAGCGGCAGCGAGCACCTCCCCTGCAGCTCGGCCTCAGCACCCTTTGGTGATGGGTGCGGGACCTTCCAGAAAGGCCAGGTCCCAGCTGCAAGCCCAGAGCCTCAGGCGTGCTATAGTCGCCCACAGGACCCCTTCTGCAAGCTTCTCCCAACTCAGGCACCCAACCTCGGTCAGGGTCATGGTGCAGGCGTTCTGCTTCATGCGTGTGATGAGCCAGCCAGCGTTGGTGATTGCCTTCAGCAGAAGGACAGTTCCGGACTCCTAGTTTCTGAGTGACCGTCACTGCTCTTTCATTCAGGGACCTGCAGTGCATCCCTGTGCAGGCACAGGCACAGGCCTCCGGAGCGTCCGGCGGGCACATGTGTGCATTTCACCACCCTCTGGGACACTTTGTTGATCCATAGTTCTCCAGAAGCGTTTGGCTGGCATGTGTGTGGGTGTCAGTGCCCCTGTGGCATTTTCGTAATCGTTCACTCAGTGACCATCTGAGACAGAAACAGCCACTTCACCCATCACCTCTCCCCGCAGGTACGTGGGGGAGCTCATCTCCGACTCTGAGGCCGATGTCCGGGAAGAGGATTCTTACCTCTTTGACCTTGACAACAAGGTAGGGTGCTTAGGGGCTGGGGCATAAAGGCAACTGTGTCAGGCCTGAGAATGGCCCCTTGGCCAGCCACTGGCTTGTCATGACAAGTGATGGACAGCCCCTGCTTCCTCATGAACCGTGTCTGCATTCAGTGCTGGCCCTGTGGGAGGTCCCAGCACAGGGTGTCTTCACAGGAGCCCCTGGTTTTGGGGCCCCAGGGCACATACAGCAAGCAGCCCACCCACTTCTGAAAAGTGAACAGATCATCCAGGACTTTCTGAAAACACCTCAAATAAGTCCACATTATGATTAGTTAAATATGTAAGGGGCGGGCATTCAAATTGTGCTGGCAAAAAACATTGAACACACTGTGGGCTGCTAGAAGAATGAACGGATCAGTTTTACAAGAAATACAGTCAGGACGCTCCTTAGACATTTGGATGGTGAGACTTCACCTTGGACACATCATTGGGAAAAGTTAGTTGCTGGAGGAGGACATGATGGTTGGTCAAGTGTAAGGTCAGTGAAATGAGGGAGATCCCCCACGAGATGGGCTGACACAGTAACCCTGACTATGGACTCAGACACACCCACAGCCGTGAGGTGGCGCAGGACCCATCAACATGGCCTTCTCTCGTGCCTGGGCCACCAGGAGTTGGGGCCACAGCCTGACGAGCCCAACGGCAGCAGGTCTTTGTGCATCAGTAGGAGGCCGTGTGCTTTGGTGGGCAGTCATCTGCATCGTGTGAGGCTGTCGTGGCTTGTGGGCAGAGTTCCACGTGGGAGACCGACACCCCACACACAAGATACCACTCACCTGTCACGTGGGAGGCTGGCATGTTCCTGGGATGCTGACCAGGTTTTAGCGGAGCTTCCAGACTTGGACGGACTAGGGAGAGGTACCTGGTGATGTACTTGAGAAAATTAGCCAGTGAAAACCCTGTGGGTCTCAGTGGTCCACAGCCACTGTTACGGGACGGTGCAGAGCAGGCCATCATGGCTCAGGGCCGACTCAGCAGCTGTTCTTAACAGCAGGCGTTAAAGCCTCAAAGGAGCTGCTGTAACTGCTAACAGCAACCACCAGTGTAAGTACTGACGGTGTGTACGATGCTTCACAGTTCCATTTGTCAGACTACATTCCACTGAGAGAGTGTGGGCAGAGGTGTCACATTGACGATGAAGGTGCACCTGACCACGCCGTGGTATTTTCAGTCACCTTGTGCTTACGGAAGCTGGACAGAGAATAAGGAAGACCGCTGAGGAACAGATGCGTTCGAATTGTGGCGTTGGCGAAGCAGTGAGTGTACTGTGGATGCCAGAAGAGCGGCCAGATCTGTCCTGGAGGAAGTGCAGCCAGAATGCTCCTTGGGAGCAAGGATGGCAAGAAAGTGTGTCTGTCCCTCGTCTCCCCCTCTGTGCATAAGAGGTGCTGAGGCGCATACTCAGCCCCAGCCCTTAACGTTCCCCACGGATGTTGACCCTTGGCAGTCCCTGGAACCTTCCTCGGTGGGTGTCGGCCTGCAGGTGGTTTCAGCCTTTGCTGCACGTACGGTCTTGAGGACCACGTGCATGAGTCAAAGCCCCTCTGCCACCCGTCTGCCACCATCGAGCTGTCCCTCGGCTTTTTAGCTCGGCCACTTTCCACGTAAATGTCTCCAAGCTCTTGTAGGCTTTCCTCTGCTAGATCCACCCATTGGTGGGTTTACAGCTGGCAAATCTCGCATTCCAGAAACTGTCTTCTGTTTAGAATGCTGTGGGTGTTTGGTGGTGTTTCTGTCTGGGTGCAGTGACTGGGGCTTCTCAGGAAGCGTGGGGCTCCTCCCGCCTTTCCTCCCGGGAAGGCCTGAGGCCTTGCTGGGTTTCGTCATGTGGAGTCTCCCCACACTTGGTCTCCTCCTCCTCGCTGCAGCTGGAGCTGCGGTTTGATCTCCGTGCCATCTGTTCCCAGTGAGGATGGTCAGCCAGGATCCCCCCTTCCCCAGCCACATCCTTCTCAAGCAGAGCCCCTGACCATGGGTCCATAGCCTGTCTGGCCAAAGCCCTGCCCCACTCACACTCCAGGCCCTCCCTGTAACTGTGTTTTTGTTCCATTTCTGGGTTTATAGTTGTTTCTGGGAGCTGTGGGCAGGCAGTGGGCGTCTCAGAGATTGAGCCCATCCCTTGCACAGAGGCCAGTCTGTTCAGGAGCGGGTCTGCGCTTATGTTCTTGCGGTTCTATTCCTGCGGTGGGGTTGCTGGTCCAGGTACATGCATCTTGGGTTCTGTAGACATGGCCGAGCCCATGCCTGCACCCACAGCAGCGTGAAGGAGGTCTCTGGGTGGCCATAGCTTGGGCCTACTTTTCCTCCACACTAACCTGGAGGCGCTGTCCCAGGCCGCCCAGCTTCCCTCACTCTGCTCCTGGGTGTCCACTGCTTTCAAACAAACTCCGTGGCCAGCTCCAACCACCATTGGCCTGAAGCACTGCACCTCAGGGCATGATGCTCTTTTGGGATCCACAGTCTAAGTCAGGTGTCAGGACACGCACATACATGTGCACATGTGTGTGCGTGCACACTTACACACACTGCTCTAGGTCCCGTGTCTCTGGGACACTGCTGTGTCTGGAGCTTCCTCATTAGGACTGGTCGCCCCATCGGGTGTGACAGCTCATGACCCTGCCACCATCACTCCCTTTACTGGTCCTGGAGGCAGGCAGACAGTGCTTCCCCAAGCGGCTCACGTCCCCCACAGAGGGTGCCTGTGAGGATGCCATGGAGTAATACGTGTCCCTTTTCACCAGCCTCCCGAGGGCTGTGGCGTGGGTGGGGTACTGGGTACCCACACCACTCAGTCATGCTCCTGTACTAAGCACCCTCTCTTGCAGGACGGAGACATTTACTGCATTGATGCCCGCTTCTATGGGAATGTCAGCCGCTTTATCAACCACCACTGCGAGCCGAACCTGGTGCCCGTGCGAGTCTTCATGTCCCACCAGGACCTGCGCTTTCCCCGCATCGCACTTTTCAGCACTCGCCCCATCACGGCTGGCGAGCAGCTTGGGTAGGTGTCGGGGCGGGGCAGCATGTGTGCACAAGTGTGTGCATGCAGGGGGCATAGGTGGGGGGGTGCAGGAGGTTTGTGAGGGGGCTGCCAGACGGGGATCATGTAAACAGTGGGGGATGCTGGGTGGCCAGAAGTTGAGGTGGGTGCCGCTGGGTTGGAGAGTGTCTGGGGTCACTGGCCAGCGTGCAGAGGGCCACCGCTCAGGTCCCTGGTGTCTAACTAGAAGCCAGTGAGCTGGTGTGGAGCCTCTGGCTGGACCTCAGCCATCTGCTCCTGGCAGGTCTGGCCCTACACTCACCCCCTGGGGCAGCAGAGGCCAGTCCCCGTCCACATGCACCGCGGCCCCAGCACCGGCCCCTGGGGGGTTTGTCCTCCCTTCACACCAGGTAGAGCTAGGCTCCTTGGTGAGGGTGTGAGCCACCTCCTTGCTCATGAAGAGTTTTATGCCCCATGGCCCCAGTGCTCAGTGTGGAGCCCATAGTCACCCACCCCCTCTGGGGCTTCCCCGATGCACTTCGGTCTTCAGCCTCTGTCCTCACGCCAGAGAAGTTTTTCTAGAACATGGCCTGGATCAAGGTCACAGGTCATGAGAGCAGGGGGTCTCAATGAGTCCACTCAAAGCTTTGCCATCCAGGACATGCCTTATGTCCTGCTCTGTTCTTGGCAGAACCCTGAGCGGGGCGGGGCCCGTGCTGGCCCTGCTTTCCCACGGCCCCAGCCCCAGCGCCGTCTGCCTCTAGGGATTGGGGCCATGGCTCTGCCCTCCAGGGTGCTGTGGACCTGTGTGGGTGAAACTGGAGACCGCTATGTCACATGTGGTCACCAGGGGGACCATGACTCATAGCACTGGCTGGACTGTGGGGCACATGGGTTCACAGAGGTTTGGGCTTTGCAGCTGGTGCGAGGCCCTTGTGGCTCAGGTCGGAAGATGCAGGGCAATCGGGTCCTGAGTCGGGGGCAAGCTTCTCCTCTGGGAGAGGGGGCACAGCCGGGGGCCCTCCTGAGTCCAGCTTGCTCTCCCCCCAGGTTCGACTACGGGGACCGCTTCTGGGACATCAAGGGAAAGCTGTTCAGCTGCCAGTGCGGCTCGCCCAAGTGCCGGCACTCGAGCGCAGCCCTGGCCCAGCGGCAGGCCAGTGGGGCCCAGGAGGCCCAGGAGGATGGCCTGCCGGACACCAGCTCCTCTACCACTGCTGACCCCCTATGAGGGCCGGCAGGCGGGGAGCTCCACACGTCATGCTGTCTGGACTGAGTTTAGAAGACAGGAACTCGTGGGCATTGAGTAGGCACGTGGTCTCAGCCATGCCAGCCACCAGAGGAGGCTGGGATGACGCTGTCTGCTTTCTGCCACGTTCCTGGGTGGGTTGGGGCTGCCCGCTGTGGACACCCATGGCCTCGCAGTCAGGCCGTGCTCAGGGCTAAGTGGAGCCGTGGACACCGTGGCGGCACTGCCCTGTGCACCTCTGAGCACGGCCTGTCACTTCCACGTCTCCCTTTTCTTCCTCTGGCTTCATGACGCCCCGTCTGGGCCGTCAGCAGTGTTCCCCTCTGGAAGAGGCCTGTGCCAGCCTGCCAAAGCGCCATCTCCCATGCTGACTCCGGCTGGCACCCGTGTGGCTACATGCAGTGCGCCAGGGGCTCAGTGCCTCGACTACCAGGACGGCGCCACACCACCTGGAGGAAAAGGTGGTTTGTGTTTTAAGGGTCTGCATCCAGCCCTGGATCGACCTCTGGCTGCACTTCCTCGTGAGGGGTGGCCTGGTGAATGGGGGTCAGGCCACCACCGCCAGTGTGGGGAGCACATGCCACCCTTGTCCTGAGCAGCCCACCACGAGGACGGGAAAACCCAGTTCTTTTCTACCGTTACTGAGCATTAGGACAGACGAGAAATAAACAAACAGACGATGGTGCTGACCTGGTGTGGTTTCTACTCACCACGTGAACTATCAACTGTACATGAGAACAAAATGGTTTTAGACTACAACGCAGGAGACCTTTTCTAAGATGTTAGTCTTGTTGTGTGAATACACTTGCCATCACCTTTTGTGTGGTGGCCCGGAGGTCACACACTTTTTTTGGCATATATCTTTTTAAAGACTGTAACTAGTGCCGTAACCGTGGGGTTTTTGTGCAGCTCTCCTGAACATTCACGACGCGGTCATGTTTATTTTTTTCTGTTAAGATGTTTTTGACAGTTTTAAGAGCAGTCTTTTGGCTCAGACCATTTCTTGTTCTGTTTTCAATGAAATCAATAAAAAAGAAGTACTTTAAATGAGGTTTTTATCACGACGTCGCCTTCCAGCTGCTCTCTGCTGCCCACGCTGCTGTCCAGCACCCCCAGGGGCCAGCCAGCCTGGCCAGCCTGCTCTGGGACCTGCAATGAGTGAGCACCGAGGGCATGTTCTAGCTGCAGCTTCCTTTTCTCCCAGACATGTCCCAGAGGGCAGATACCACCCATACCTACCCCAGGCAGGCATCAGGGGCGTGTGTGTGTGTGTGTGTGTGTGTGTGTGTGTCTTGCATGTATGTACATGTGCGTACGTGTTTGCATGTGTGTCTGTAGGTATGAGTGTCCTCTGAGTGTGTCTGTACCTATATGTCACATGCCTGCATACACACGTGTGCAGTCTGTCCAGGTGCTGAGGTCCAGGCCTCAGTCTCGAGCTTGATGGGGCAGTTCCAGGTGAGTACCCCTGGCTGTGGTAGTGGCACCTTCCTGCTACACCGGGCAGCAACCCCAGGTGGAATGAAAGTGGCGGGGGTTCCAGTGCCTGAAGGGGGGGTCGGTGGAGGTTGGGCATCATGGGGCGGGGGGACAAGTGGCTTCTGTCATGCTGGCCGACGGTACAGGTAGGTTTGGGGTGGCTTCTCCTGTGGAGCGAGGAGCTCCCCTGCCCCATGGCTCATACAGGAGCCCTGTGTCCCCAGCTCTTTTGCAGGGGGGGAGACCCCTGGTGCATGGAGGTTGTCACTCTTCAGAAACAGCCTGTAGGTGGGCAGGTGGCTAGGAGAAAGGGTGCCCTGGGCAACAATGCTGGGCATGGGGTGTTCAGCTGAGGCTCTCTGTTGGCTTTAGAAACCCCCTATGGTCAGGCCCCAGAGTGCACACACAGCTCAGATCAGACTGGCTTCATGGAGGCCCCGCTGGCAAGGCTGTGGCCCCCCGGGCCCTGATCCACACCTACATCTGGGGCAGGTCTGGCTTGGTCCCCTATGAGGGGGCATGAACCCTCTGAGAGCAGCTTGAGGGCTCCATTTTTAGGTACAGAGCTCACAGGATTGTTCAGGGCAGTAGGAACTCGGTGCACTTTGTCATTAGACCACCGAAGCCTCCATGGCTGTGGGCAGGTAAGCCCAGTGAGTACCTGAGCTCAGGTGAGGGTCAGGGAGCTGCCGGAAGGAGGTTGTAGGACGAGACATTGACTCTGGTCCTGAGCAAAGGCCATGTTCCTCCAGGAGGGTTTTGGCGGCGGCTTCTCCCACTCGGTGCCTTTTTCCTTCCGGTAGGTCCAACCAGCTGAGGAGGGTGCTGGCCACATGTGGGAGGGCCAGAGGCAGGTAAACTCAGGGTGGCAGCTGAAGCTGGGATCCAAAGCACTGTCAGCCCTTCTGCTGGTGCCACCCCACCCCAGCCCCTCGACTGGGACCCTTGCATGAATCCCACCCTTGAGGCTGGTGGACTCGCAGCAACACTGCTTGTCAGCCTGGCACCACCTCCAGTGCAGGACTCTTGTGTTGTCTCGGGTTCTCAGCACGGCCTGTGTCAACGCCCCTCCCACTGCCAGAACCCTCAGAAACTGTTTGCTGAGGATGCTGCCTTGGTAGCATCTTCCCTTTTCAGGGAGGTGGGGCTTGTAGGAGACAGGTGTGATCGTCTCTGTGATGGGGAAGCTTAAAGGCAAGGGTGCAGGGCTGCTGGGTTGCCTCTGAGGAGAGACAGGTACGGAGCTTTGGGCAGGCAGGTGTAGGGCTAGGCAGGCAAGAGCCTCCTCAGACCAGGTGAGCACTCAGGCTAGGCAATTATTTGTATAAAAATTCCTGTTCATCGTTGTTAGCTGCCATTGCTTCAGGTCCAACTCAGCAGAGACCCTGTGTACAACAGAACAAAATATTGCCTGGTCCTGCACCAGCCTCACAATCCTTGCAATACTTGAGCCCATCATTGCAGCCATCTCTTCGAGGTCCTTCTTTTTTGTTCACCCTCCACTTTACCCAGCATGACATCCTTCTCCAGGGAATAGCCCCTTCTGACAACATGACCAAAGTAGGTGAGACGAATTCTGGCCATTATCATTTCCAAGGAGCATTCTGGCTGCACTTCTTCCAGGACAGATCTGTTCATTCTTGCCAACATCACAACTCAAAATCATCAACTCTTCTTCAATCTTCTTTATTCATCGTGTGGCTTTCACATGCATATGAGGTGATTGAAAATACCTTGGTTTGGGTTAGGCGCACCATAGTCTTCAAAGAGACATCTTTGCCCTTCACTTGAAACAGGTCTTTTGCAGCAGATTTGCTCAGTGCAATATGTCTTCTGATGTCTTGACTCCTGTTTCCAATGGTGTTGATTGTGGAACCAAGTAATAGGAAATTTTTGATAATTTCAATCTTTTCTCCATTTATCGTGATGCTGCTTATTGATCCAGTTGTGAGAATTTTGTTATCTTTATGTGGAGGTATAATCCATACTGCAGACTGTAGTTTACAGTCTTCATCAGTAAGTACTTCAAGTCCTCTTCACTTTCAGCAAGCAAAGTTGTGTCATCCGTGTATCACAGGTTGTCACTGAGTCCTCCTCCAATCCTGATGACACATTCTTCTTCATATAGTCCAGCTTCTTGGATTATTTGCTCAGCATACAGGTTGAATAAGTGTGGGGAAAGGATACAACCCTTTCTGATTTTAAACCATGCAATATTCTCTTGTTCTGTTCGAATAACAGCCTCTTGGTCTATGTACCAGTTACTCATGAACACAATTAAGTACTCTGGAATTCCCATTCTTCTCAATATTATCTATAATTTGTTATGATCCACACAATCGAGAGCTTTTGCAGAGTCAGTAAAACACAGGTAAACATTTTTCTGGTATTCTTAGCTTTCAGCCAAGATCCATCTGACATCAGCATTGCTATCCTTCATTCCACGTCTTCTGAATTCAGCTTGCCTTTCTGGAAGTTCTCTGTCCATATACTGCTGCAACCATTTTTGAATTATCTTCAGCAAAATTTTACTTGTGTGTGATATTAATGATACCATTCAATAGTTTCCACATTCTGTGGGATCATTTTTCTTTGGAATGGGTACAAATGTGGATCTCTTCAGTCAGTTGGCCAGGTACCTGTCTTCCAAATATTACTTGGCATAGATGAGAAAGTGCCTCCAGTGTGGCATCTGTGTGCTGAAATATCTCATTGGATATTCTGTCAATTCCTGGAGCCTTGTTTTTCACCAATTTCTTCAGTGCAGCTTCGACGACTTCTTCAGTACCATCAGTTCTTAATCATATATCACCTCCTGAAATGGATGAACATCAACTAATTCTTTCTGGTACAATGGCTCTATGTATTCCTTGTATCTTCCTTTGATGCTTCCTGCATCATTCAATATATTGCCCATAGAATCTTTCAGTATTGCAACTTAAAGCTTGAATTTTTCTTCAGTTCTTTCAGCTTGAGAAATGCCGAGAGTGTTCTTCTCTTTTGGTTTTCTAACTCTGGGTCTTTCCACATTTCATTATAGTAATTGACTTTGTCTGCTCAAGCTGCTCTTTGAAATCTTTTGTTCAGCTCTTTTATTTTATCATTTCTTCCATTCACTTTAGCTACTCTCTGTTTAAGAGCAAGTTTCAGAATCTCTTCAGACATCCATTTTGGTCTGTTCTTCCTTTCCTGTCTTTTTAATGACATTTTTGTTTCCTCATGGATGATGTTCTTGATGTCATCCCACAGCTCATCTGATTTTCAGCCACTGGTGTTCAGTGCATCAAATCTCTTCTTTAGATGGTCTCTAAATCCAGGTGAGATATAATCAAGGTCATATTTTGGCTTTCATGGAGTTGTTTTAATTGTCTTCAGGTTCAACTTGAACTTGCCTATGAGCAATTGATCGTCTGGTCCACAGTCTGCTCCTGGCTTTGTTTTGGCTGAAGATACTGAGTTTCTCCATCACCTCTTTCCACAGATGTAGTCATTCTGATTCCTGT